CTCCGGCCCCAGCCCCTCGGCGCGCCCGCTTTCCCGGCCGCCCCTGAGCCTAGCGGCAGCGGGTCCCGGAATCCGCTAAGAGCAGCGGGGGCGCCTCGCCGGACCTACTCCTTGCCTTTCCCCGGGCGCTGGGAATGAGCCCCGCGACCACCTGAATCCCAGGGGGCGCTGCTCGGCGAGGACCGCGCCCCCGAAGTCATTTCCCCTCGCCTCTGCACTGCAGGACGCCCGCACCCGACCCTGGTGGAGGCGTCCTCGGAAGAGCAGGGTGGGGGCATGGAACCCGAGGCACCTGCGGGCCAGGCCCGAGCGGCGGCCACCACGCTGTCGGAGGCGGTGGGCGCGGCGCTGCAGGAGCCCCGGCGGCAGCGGCGCCTGGTGCTGGTCATCGTGTGCGTGGCGCTGTTACTGGACAATATGCTGTATATGGTCATCGTGCCCATCGTGCCCGACTACATCGCTCACATGCGCGGGGGCAGCGAGAACCCCACCCCGACCCCCGAAGTATGGGAGCCCACCCTGCCGCTGCCCACGTCAGCTAATGCCAGCGCCTACACCGCCAACACCTCAGCGTCCCCGACGGCTGCGTGGCCTGCCCGGCCAGCGCTGCGGCCCCGCTACCCTACGGAGAGCGAAGACGTGAAGATCGGGGTGCTGTTTGCCTCCAAGGCCATCCTGCAGCTGCTAGTGAACCCTCTGAGCGGCCCCTTCATCGACCGCATGAGCTACGACGTGCCGCTGCTAATCGGCCTGGGCGTCATGTTCGCCTCCACGGTCATGTTCGCCTTCGCGGAGGACTACGCCACGCTGTTCGCCGCTCGCAGCCTGCAGGGCCTGGGCTCCGCTTTCGCCGACACGTCCGGCATCGCCATGATCGCCGACAAGTATCCTGAGGAACCCGAGCGCAGTCGCGCGCTGGGCGTGGCGCTGGCCTTCATTAGCTTCGGAAGCCTGGTGGCGCCGCCCTTCGGGGGCATCCTGTACGAGTTCGCAGGCAAGCGCGTGCCCTTCCTGGTACTTGCGGCGGTGTCCCTCTTCGACGCGCTGTTGCTGCTAGCCGTGGCCAAGCCTTTCTCAGCCGCAGCGCGGGCTCGGGCCAACCTGCCAGTGGGCACGCCCATCCACCGCCTCATGCTGGACCCCTACATCGCCGTGGTAGCCGGCGCGCTCACCACCTGTAACATTCCCCTTGCCTTCCTGGAGCCCACCATCGCCACGTGGATGAAGCACACCATGGCGGCGTCGGAGTGGGAGATGGGCATGGCCTGGCTGCCGGCCTTCGTGCCGCACGTGCTAGGCGTCTACCTCACAGTGCGCCTGGCGGCGCGCTACCCTCACCTGCAGTGGCTGTACGGCGCGCTCGGGCTGGCGGTGATCGGCGCCAGCTCGTGCCTCGTGCCTGCCTGCCGCTCCTTCACGCCGCTAGTGGTCTCGCTCTGCGGCCTCTGTTTCGGCATAGCGCTGGTGGACACCGCGCTGCTGCCCACGCTCGCCTTCCTAGTGGACGTGCGCCACGTCTCCGTCTACGGCAGCGTCTACGCCATCGCCGACATCTCCTATTCCGTGGCCTACGCCCTCGGGCCCATCGTGGCGGGCCACATCGTGCACTCGCTTGGCTTTGAGCAGCTAAGCCTTGGCATGGGCCTAGCCAACCTGCTCTACGCGCCGGTGCTGCTGCTGCTGCGCAACGTGGGCCTCCTGACGCGCTCCCGCTCAGAGCGCGATGTGTTGCTGGACGAGCCGCCGCAGGGTCTGTACGATGCGGTGCGCCTGCGTGAGCGTCCCGTGCCTGGCCCGGAAGGCGAACCCAGCAGCCCGCCTGGTCCTTTTGACGGGTGCGAGGATGACTACAACTACTACTACACCCGCAGCTAGCAGCCCCGCTCCTTATCCAGGACGCCCACCACCCCCCTTAGGTCAAGGTGGCTGTTCTGCAAGCGCACTGGCCAGCTCAGGCTCAGGGCCCGCCTCCTCCAGCGAGTACCCCAGCCCCTCCCCAGCCTGGACTAATGCCCGAATCCCCTCCCCCTGACCCATTCCGTGACCCTTTCCCTCTTATCCAATGGGGCGTGGAGCACTGAGGCAAGCGAAGCGATTGCGCTCCTTGTAGAGGTGAAGAGGCTCGCAGGCCCCTACCTCGGGCCTCCCCTGTGTAGAGCCGTGCGTCTGTCTATCCTTCCTTGCGTTCCTCCCAGTGCCAAACTTGGACCGCTGCACCGCGGTACCTCTGGCCCAAATCAATAAACTATGTCAGTCCCGTGAGGCTAAGTCTCTTTACTGGCGGGGTGGGGGTTGGGAGGCATAGAAGGTGAGCTGGGTCTCCAAGCCCCAACCCAGACCCGAGCTCAACTGGCGCGGGGAGCCTGTGGCTCTTTTGCTACCTGGAAAAGGGGATACGAAAGAAGCAAACCCAACAAGGGCTCTTGCCCTCCGTCACCAAGGAGCACACGCTCCCCTCAGCCCGTGACAGCCCCTCCTTTCCAGGCCGGCGCAGCGCCCGGGGGTGCCGCCCGGGGGAGCCTGAGGACCCGCTTCAGCCGGGTGCGCCAGGCTCCGCCCTGCGAGGACCCGCCCAGCACCAGCCGCCGAGCTCCAGGGCGCCTGGGCTGGCCTTCCCCTCCGACCAGCATCCCGCCCCGTCCAGGCTTTGAGAAAGGAGTCGGAGCCCGCGGAGGAAAAAAAAAACCGGCCCCATCTTTCAGGGTCCAACCTCTGAAAACGCGCGTGTGTGGTGTGTGTGTTCGTTAGAGAACGGGGCTCTACCTACGGGGAGTGGAGGAGTGAGAGAGCTGTTGTAGGTGTCTGTTGTGCCCCGATCGTTTGATCTGAGTCCTGAAGGGAAGAGATGCGTGTGTGGGAGCTGGAGCCACCCTCCCCCCACCCTGTCCTGAGTGCAAGCAGCCGCCCGGGGCTGTTAGAAAAGTTTTCCATCCTGGAGCCCGGGTCCTGCGCACCCCCGGCTAGCGTTTGCGGGACGCCCCCAGGCTTGGAACCCGCAGTCTAATGACCGGCACACATCGGAATTCCAGCGTGAAGAGGCGGATGGGTTGGGGTCACCCGGGTGTTAGACTGCGCCTGTGGGGGCGTGCGCTGCTGATGTGTACGTGTCTGTCGTGGGTCTGCCTGTCGGGCTTATGTGTGTATATTTGTGTGTGGTGATCTGATCTGGGGTCGGGAGGATGCTTTCGTCTGGGAGGAGAGTCTGCCCCCTGCGGCAGGTCCCTAGACATCCCGCGGTCTGCCTTCAGGATGGTCCTAAATCTGTATTCCCCTTCCATGGTGCCAGCAGGAATGGGAGGTCAACAGAAAGGGAAGAAGGTCCTGCAATGAGCAATTACCGATTTATTATCATTATTGATATTTTGAAAGGCGGTGTGGTAGGGTTTTAGCGCGACCTGGATGGTGGGAGAGAAGGGCAGAGATTTCCTCGGACCCAACCCTCTACAGGGTTCTGCGCAGGCAGGTCCAGGCAAAAATGAGTTTATGGGAGGCCCGGACCGGGGAAGGCTGGGTTGGGGGCAACCGGCATGGGCGGGGCGATGTTCTGCGTTTCCCTTTTAGGGTCTGGATTTGCTCGTCTGGGAAGCCGTCCGGGCAGGTTCCGGGGTCCGGGAGGTGGGATCGCCGGCAGCGGCGGAGGGAGGGGGACCTGGAGGGGACGCA